AAATAAAGTTGCACCTTGATCAGAATCTAGACTTGGTGTCTTTCCTTTGTATCTCCTGTCCCTACATTCCCTCCTTAGGGTGGTCAAGAACCTATTGTAGCCCTGCAGGTGGGGCACAGGCAGTACACCTGTACACATAAAATGAATTTGAAAAAGACTTGAATAAGGATGCAAGAATGGGAATGGAAAGGATTATTTATTTATTTATTTATTTATTTATTTATTTATTTATTTATTTAATAGACCAGACTGGCCTCAAACTCAGATCAACCTGCCTCTACTTCCCAAATGCTGAGACTAAAGGCATGTGCTGCCAACCCAACCCAACCCACCCTCACCCCCGACGACAATAATGAAGTTATAAGATTACAAACTGTTTAAAGGAATTAGGGCCTGATTAACTAAGACACGAAAGCGACCAATCTGCAATGGGATCCCTGAAGCTCATCTCTTACAGGGCTTTTGCCCAGAAAAGAACCATTAAGGGACACTTGGGAGCGCTCAGAAACTTATCTGGGAGATTTTGAGAGTTCCAGACTTGCTCTCTGGTACATTTCACACTACTTTTATATAGGCCTATTATACTCCAGGTCCTCTGCTTTTTCCCTGCTGCGGTTGTTGTTCCATAGCCAGAGGGATTCTGCATGCTGGTCTTTACACCTGGGAGATCGGGCAGGAGGACAATGTTCAACTCAATCCCAGATGCTCCGGTGGCTGGATCTCCCCATAGTGTACATGCTCAACTCCTCCCTCCCAACATGACGGCATTAAGAAGTGGGACTTGGGGTGCTCATGATAAGGTTTCAGGAACTAGATTAGTGCCTTTATAAGCCAAGGGGATTCTACCACGTGAGGGCATAGTGAGGCCAGAACCCATAAGATTAGTAAGCTGGGCGGAAGTGATCAGGGGAGTTTGATCATCTGGAAATGCCAACAGGCTGGCAGCTGGCTCAGTTCAAAGGTCCTGTCTTGCCAGCCATGACCCCACAGCGATCACACAGCTTGAAGCTCTTGCTCATTTCAGTGCTGTGGCTGGACAACCCTGCAGAGGCCAGGACATTGATGTGCCAACCTCTGCTTCTGAGGCCAGAAGGGAAGACAGCAGAGGCAGAAGTGATGTCACGCTACACTGTGACATCACAGTGTTTCTTTTCCGCTGTCTTCACTCATTTTTTTTTCCTCCCTGCTCCCACACCTTCCCCCCCAGCCCTCTGGCTCCCACATAGCTGCACACACTTGTATCCAAAAAATCACAGACACCACCTGGGCCCCCAGGTATGCGAAAGGGGGAGGCAGGCAGGGAGGGAGGATTGCTGATGCACGGGAGTTTAAGCTTGCCGGTGGGCTCCGCAGTGGTGGCTGGGGAGGGGAGGCTCCTGCCGGAGCTGCATCAGTGCGATGGAAAGCTGAGGGAGACAGTGGAGAGCAGGGGGGAAGAGGACGATTGTTCCCGGGGCTGCTGCAGTGTGCCATGCTCACCCCTCACCCCCCAGTCCCCTCCTCTACTCTCTGTCCTCCCCACCCCCACGTGCAGCTGGCCATGGCCTCAGAAGCAGAGAAAACGTTCCACCGGTTTGCCGTCTTTGGGGACACATCCAGCAGTGGCACCGAAATTACCAACAAGAACTTCTCCAAACTCTGTAAAGACTGCGGCATCATGGATGGCAAGGCGGTGACCTCCACAGACGTGGACATTGTGTTCAGCAAAGTGAAGTAAGAGGCCGAAGCTGGGGGGTGAGGTGAAAAGGTAGTTGGTCACGGCCCAGTTCTTTTTGCTGTTGTTTTGGGTTTGTTGGTGTTGGTGGTTTTTCGAGACAGGGTCTCTCTGTGTAGCTTTGGAGCCTGTCCTGGAACTTGCTCTGTAGACCAGGCTGGCCTTGAACTCACAGAGATCCGCCTGCCTCTGTCTCCAGAGTGCTGGGATTAAAGCCATGTGCCACTGCCGACCAGCCAGATGGCTCAGTTCTTATGATGGAAGATTCATAAGGAGCATCTGGAAGGTGCCAGCCACTGTCCGGATCCCTATCCTCAAGATTCATTGGCAGGATAAAAGAGGCCATGCCTGACTAAGAAAAAGGTAGATGTTGGGAGGCAATGACTTCACACTCCATGGTTACTGGATTTCTGTCTGACTGGCCAGGGCCAAGAATGCCAGAACCATCAACTTTCAACAGTTTCAAGAGGCGATGAAGGAGCTGGGCCAAAAGCGCTTCAAGGGGAAGAGCCTAGATGAGGCTTTGGAGAATGTTTATAAACTCATGGAAGGCAAGGACCCTGCTACCACCGGTGTTACTGTGAGTAACGTTCTTCACTTTTGTCTGCTCTTTCGGCCTCCCACCCTCCCTCCCTTCCTTCTTGTCTGTCTGTCTTTCTGTCTAGCAGGACCTTACTCTATTAGCTTAGACTAGCCTGGAACTGGCTGTGTAACCCCAGGCTAGTTGTGGACTGAAGATCTTCGTACTTCAGCCTTCCAAGCGCTAGGATTTCAGGTGTGCGCTGCCACACCTGCCTTCAGGATAGCATTCTTCACCTCCAGCCCAGAGCCCCACTTCCCTAGCCTCTACTGCTCCAGTCCCCACTCCGATTCAGGGCCCCAAGTCCTGTCAGCAGTCTAACTCAGGGGACAGACTGAAAAGCCTGTACTGGAAGACTCTAGCACCCTTGCAGTCATTCTGGAGGCGGGAGGACTGGGGCATGGAGAGACTTGCTCCAGGTGCAGCTGGCGGCATTCTTAACCACAGCATAGCTATCTCACTAGTGGGGTTCAGACTCGCTTTCAAGTCTCATGTCTGGTCTAGACGCCTCAGTCTTCCGTAGCTTTGGAGGCACATTAGCACTGGAGGAACTTGGGGCCTGCTCCCCCGACTCCTCCTCCTCCTCCGTACATTAAAGGTTTAATCTCGGACGTCCTGCCTCTCACCCCTCTTCTTCCTAAATTGTTTCCTCTGTACAAATAGTGCTGTGGACTCTGCACGTTGGAGGCAGGGCTTGGGACTGAAGCCCTCTGGCACTGGCTTGATCAGAAGAACTCCTCTGGATACAGAGAAATCCGCTGTCCTTTCCCACAGCAGAACCCTCCTGTTTCAGGAGTAGATGGTTCTGTCAGAGTTCCTGCCCACAGCTGTGTCTGGACCTCAGGAAGCAGCGCCATGTCAGAGGCAGCGCAAGCAATCCCAGCATGTGCCTTAGGGCTCTAAGGACCCCCCAAGCACGTGCCTTAGGGCTCTAAGACCCCCCAGCAGTGCCTTAGGGCTCTAAGATCCCCAGCACATGCCTTAGGGCTCTAAGACCCCCCAGCACGGGCCTTAGGGCTCTAAGACCCCCCCAGCACGTGCCTTAGGGCTCTAAGACCCCAAGCACGTGCCTTAGGGCTCTAAGACTGTAAGTGGGGAAGGGCTGTGATAGCGCAGGAAAAGGAGGAAGGCTCAACCCCCACCCCACCCCCGGCTTGCAGAAAGCAACCACAGTGGGTGGCGTCGACCGGTTGACAGACACCAGTAAGTACACCGGAACCCACAAGGAGCGCTTTGATGAGAGCGGCAAAGGGAAGGGCATCGAAGGTCGGGAAGAGACGGCAGACAACTCGGGCTATGTGAGCGGCTACAAGGGGGCCGGCACCTATGACCAAAAAAACAAGTAGAGAGGAGCCGTCGTCACCTGCTAGTTCCCTGGCCCTGTGTTTTTGACACCAGGACATCTAGGAGATAATAAACCTCGTGTGTGCAGCATCTAGTGAGTTCTGTCTCATGAATGGGAGGACCAGATTGGTCCATAGACAGAGAAGGGGAGAAGAGAAAGCCCAAGGAGCCAGGGTTTTCAGCCATGGACCCTTTCCCTACTGAGCCTCATGCATACTAACCATAACGTAGTCGTCTCCTTGGCAACTGCTCCTGAGAAACAGGACTGGGTAATGCATTTGGAGGTAAGAGTTAAATCAGATGCAGAAGGAAAAACATTTACTTACTGTGTTTACACATCAGTGGCCTCCATTCCTTCTTCCTCCCCAAAGGGAGTCATAGTTCTTGATCTGACATACCATGACCCAAATAATCTCTTAGCAGAGCCTTCAATGTGTCTCCCAACTTGCTCTCTGTTAGAATCCAAGTTTTGTTGGGCGATAGATAAAAACCAGCAAGGGGAGCCTAACACTGTTACAAATCACAAATGTATTTTCTGGCTGGGGAAAAGAGAATCTTTCTGTTTGGTTGGTTGGTTGGCTTGGTTTTTGAGACAGGGTCTCACTGTGAAGCCCTGGCTGTCTTGGAAGCCTGGAACGCTGAATCAGGCTGGCCTTGAACTCACAGAGACACCTGCTAGGGTTGAAGGTCTCCACCTCCACTGTCGTGCCCACAGAACAAAAGACACTTCCAGCTGCCAAGAGCAGTTCTGAAGGATGGTCAGAAGTGGGTGGTCACCAGGACACCAAAAGCAGGGAAGGGAATTAAACCACAACTGAGTTGAATGCGTTTTTTAAACTTTTTATGAACTTGCTCTGTAGACCAGGCTGGCCTTGAACTCACAGAGACACCTGCTAGGGTTGAAGGTCTCCACCTCCACTGTCATGCCCACAGAACAAAAGACACTTCCAGCTGCCAAGAGCAGTTCTGAAGGATGGTCAGAAGTGGGTGGTCACCAGGACACCAAAAGCAGGCAAGGGAATTAAACCACAATTGAATGCGTTTTTAAACTTTTTATTTGGAGATGGTTACAGATTCACAAGAAGTCAATACAGAAAGGAGTTCCCGAACCTTTTGCCCAGCTTCCCCTCATGGTTCTTCCACTTTACAGCACTGGAAATTGGGCTGGCCTCATCATCTGCCACCTGAGTGGCACAGACCCTGGAGTCTGGGAAATGTTGGGTAGAGATGAGGGAGGAAAGGGGGACTAAGGGACCTTGGGAAGATCAGAAAAGAGAACTCGAGCTGCTGATGGGCCAAGGTGAGAGAAGGACGGAAGGCAGAGGTTGGGGAAAGGTAGGCAGCAAGGCTATGAGTGGTCTGAGCCTAGGGGAAAACAGCCCCAGGCTCCATGGTGAGGGAAGTGGGGGAAGGGTAGGGTATACAGAAGGGGAGATCACAGAGAAGTGCAGACTGGAGACAGAGTCAGGGGATATGAGACCAAAAGGGTCTCAGGGTCGTAGGGAGGTTCCTTTTGCTGGAGAGTGGCAGGAATTATAAAGGAACTGTGGGAGATGGACACTAAAAACAGGGATAGGGAGAAACACTGGAACTGGGTGCCTGTTGCTATGGTGTGAGTTGGGACCTGGGCCTCCATCCAGACGTCGGGATCTGGCCCAGTGGATAGACAGGCTCTGCCAGCTGGACACCCATCCGCTTCTTGGGTGGGTTTTACTGTCACTGGGGGAGGGAGGCTCGGGGTGGGGGTGGTGAGAAGGTGAAAAGACCCTGAAGCGGGGCGAGGCTCTGCCTCAGAAGTCAGGAAGACATGCAGCCAGATTCCGAGTTTGGGAACAGGCTTTGGGGTGGCGTGTGGAGACCTGTAACGAGGTGGGACTGGTTTGCGAGCTAAGTCCCTAGTAGATGCCAATGATACCTATTGGCTCAGCGTCGTGCTTGCTGGAGCAGAGCAAGTACAGCCTCTGGTTGGTCAGGGTGCTGTTGTAGCTGCAGCTGGTTGGTGGCTGCTTAGAGTCCAGGGTGCAGACTGTAATGGGGAAGGAGTCCTGAGTGAGGGTGCAATATTCATTGTAGTTCTCGCAGAAGCTCTCGCTGTATTCGCAGAACTTTTGGATGTCTTTCCAGGGGGCGTGCACCACATAGTGGATCTTGGGGCAGAACCAGTCCTGTAACCTGCCCCTCACATAGGCCATGAGGCCATTGCAGTACCCGTGGAAACCCTTCGGGTATTTAACCATGGGGTAGTCAATGTGTAAGGTGCGGAAGTTCTTGATGGCCATCTGCATGTTGATGCCTATCACCAGAGTTGGCCGTAAGACGAGCTGGAGGAAAAGGAGCCAGACCACATCCCGTGCCATGCCTTCTGCTGGCAAAGTTACGGTAATTAGGGACACATTCAGCCTAAAGAGACTGTCCACCCTTCCCAGAGCTGCCAGTATTCTCCAACTTTCCCTATAGGCCTCCCTCATCCTCTGAGAACTGCTCAGGGACACTTACAAATCCTGACACTCCAGAGAGACACCTGCTCAAGGCCACCCCTCAGACCAGTCATCTACAGCTCACCCTTTTCTCCCGTGGTTCACCGCTGAGTCTCCGTCTTACCCAGTCCTTGGGCTGGAGCACAGAATCAGAAGTCCAGCTGGTCCTCGGGTGAGAGATGCTGCTGGATGATGCTCCCTGTTTCCAGGCACCCCTATGGTAAATACAGAGGGAACGGAGAACAGAGTGCAGTGGCGTCTCAGACAGCTCTGCAGGAAGAAACTGAAGTCAGGGAGGAGAGTCGGAGGCAGAGCTGTGCCTTGCCTAAGGCCACTTACAGCCTAGAGGTGGGATGAGGCTGAAAAGGTTGCTGGATAAAGACCAGTCTGGAAGGAGGGAGCGTGCCCTGGGTTTAAGAAGCCCTGTGCTACGTGGGTTAGCTGGGTAGGAGGAAAGATACATTACTGTCTGGTCTGCTTTCTGGTGTCCTCAGAACTCTTAGTTCCAACCTCCTGGCCAGAAACCCCTAAGTCCCTGGATCTTCTTTGATGTCTGCTCTGGCCCACTGGTCTTGCTTTCAGCAAAGTGGGAAGGAAAGAACCATCTTGTTGCTGAAGAACAAAGTGTTTACCTTTGATCAAGGGTTCACCAATGTCTCATCCCACTTACAAGCCCCGGGGGCCGTGTGCATGGGCACTTCCCACCGAAATGACAGACTGAGAACAAAGGACCCTCACAAGGACTTCCCACAGTCCTCATCAATTCCCAGCTGATTGTGCCGACACCCTGCACCTATGACTCAGGGCCTATCAGGTCAGAGCCCTGCTAGAAATCTCTGCATGCTGCCTCTGAAGCCTCAAAGTTGGCAGCTTGGCTCTGAGAGCACTACCTGGGACCTGAGAGAATGTGAACCACCTGGCCAGATCAGATTCTTCGTATTGGCTGGTCTGTGGTAGCTTGTCCTGCTGAGAAAAAGGGCTAACAAGTTCCTCAGCTTTTTATCAAATGTCTGCATCTTCATCAAAGTCAATACGCTAGCTCCCAAGAACCTGCTAGGTCTAGCCCCTTTTGTCCCACAGGCCCTTCAGCCTCTTCTCCCTACAGGTCTTCTCCACATTTGCACATTTGGGGGGTTTTATTTGGTGACATGGGTCTCACTATGTAGCCCAGGTTAGCTTCAAATTGATTATCCCCCTGCCTCAGCCTCTTGCGTGCTGGAAACACAGATGTGTATCACCCCATCCAGCTCCTTGGGCTTGCTCTTAGGAGAACCTCTTCACCTTCAGCAGCAGCAGAAAAGGGAGTCAGTAGGCAGAGCACCTGGTGCTCTGGGGCTCACTGTGGAGCTCAGGGGAAGGAGGAGGTGTAGTCAAAAGTTTCTCCGGTCCCGCCTGCCCCCCCCTCCCCACTTCCCACCCCTGGCCTGCAGCCACTTATAAAATAATCATTCAGAGGCTTAATATTAATTACCAATTGCACAGTCTATGGCAGGCCTCTTGCTAGCTAGTGCTTACATCTTAAATTAACCCATTTCTATTCATCTATGTTTTGCCACGTGTTCCATGGCTTACCAGCCTGTTGGCATGTTGCTTCTCCTTTGGTGGTGGCTGGCATCTCTCCGGACTCTGCCTTTCTCTTTCCTGTCTCTCTCTTTGGATTTTCCTGCCCGCCTCTAGGCAAGGCAGCTTTATTTATTAACCAGTGGGAACAATATATATTACAGCGTACAGAAAGACATCCCCCAGCAGAGGAGTTGGTCTCAGAGAGAGACATATTGGTGTTCTCTCTGTGGTCCTCTGGATTTGCTCTTCCTGGCTGCACAAACTAGGGTCCATAATTAAATCTGTTCTCCTCAGTCTTTGTTCTTCTGTGTCATTGTCTTTATTTTCCTGTTGCTATGATAAGCTTTGACAAGAGCCACTTAAGAGAGCAGGGTTTATTCTGGCTCACGTATCAAGGAGAGCCACCAGCGTGGGGAGGTCAAGGCAGCGGTCACATAGAACCCAGTCAGGAAGCAGATATGAATGAACACATGTTGCTGCTCAATTCCCTTTCTCCATTCACACAATTCAGCATCCCAACCAGGAAACAGTGATGATGCCCACCTCAATTAATGCAATCAGGACTGTGCCTTACAGGCATGCACAGAATCCCATCTCCCGGGTGATTCCAGAGCCTATCAAGTTGACATTAGCTCTAACCATCATAGTTGTGTGTATGCTTCCTCAGTTTTCTGTGACAAGCTTCTCTATCTCCCTAACCATCAACCACAAGGCATGATGGTAAAATCATCAAGGCTCAAGTCCTGGCTCCATAGTTTCTATGGC